AGACCTTGCAAAGCTAGAAAAAGTTGAGCGAACTGACCGCAGTCTTTATATATATATATATAAGGCGTGCATTACATTATTTGACTTTCCCCCAAAAATCTAGGAACAAAACCATCGGGCTTCCTTGAAGAAGCCTGAGCTTTCTTGCGTCCCGCAAAACAAACAACTAACATTCAACCATAATAATTTGCAACTAGTAATTGGCTTAATAGATTCAATTTGTACTTTCTCACACTTTTTGCAGGTCGATGACCGCTATGGGGTCGCTGTAGTTGGAGCCGTGCCTTGGGCCTGGCACCTCAGTGGAAGACTGGGAAAGGATGATAGTCATGTGGACCTAGGCCGCTTTTTCCCCAAACAGTTTCCTGTTAGGGGTTCTCAATGCTTTAAAGAATGGTCGCCTTGGAGCTGGATGGTCTGGTCGGGTTCCCGGCCGGCTTGTCTCCCACTTCCTTTCATTTGTCTCCCAGTTCTTTTCATTTGTCTCCCGGGCTGGGTGCGGCTTGTCTCCCACTTCCTTTCATTTGTCTCCTACTTCTTTTCATTTGTCTCCCAGGCTGGGCGCTTGTAGTCGGGTTTCCGGCCGGCTTGCCTCCCACTTCCTGCATTTATCTCCCACTTTTTCCTCAAAAAGTTTACTGTTAGGGGTTCTCAATTCTTTCTTAAGATGTGCCATGTAGCATTTCTACATTTGTCTCCCGGGTCTGCCACTGGTGGTGGCCATGCAGCATTTCTAGTCATGTGTCTCCCAGGTCTGTCACTGGCGGTGTCCGCCCTTTTCCGCTGGCCAAGTAACAGTTCTTTTCATGTGTTTCCCAAGTCTGTCACCGCTGGCGTCCGCCCCTTTCTGCTGGCCATGTAGCATTTCTATTCCTTTGTCTCCCAGGTCTGTCACTGCTGGTGTCTGCCCTTTTCCGCTGGCCATGCAGCATTTCAATTCATTTGTCTCCCAGCCTGTGACTGATGGTGTCCGCCCATTTCTGGCTATGCAGCATTTCTATTCATTTGTCTGCCACATCTGTCACTGCTGGTGTCTGCCCTTTTCTGCTGGGCCATGTAGCATTTCTGTTCGTTTGTCTTCCAGCCCTGCACTGCTGGTGTCCGCCCTTTTCCGTTGGCCATGAGCATTTCTATTCATTTGTCTTCCAGGTCTGTCGCTGCTGGTGTCCAGCATTTCTATTCATCTCCCAGGTCTGTCACTGGCGTTGTCCGCCCTTTCGGTTGGCCATGCAGCATTTCTCTCCCAGGTCTGTCACTCTGGTGTCCGCCCTTTTCCGCTGGCGATGCAACAGTTCTATTCGTTTGTCTCCCAGGTCTGTCACTGGTGGTGTCCGCCCTTTTCCGCTGTTTCATTCATTTGTCCCCCATGTCTGTCACTGCTTGTGTCCGCCCTTGTACGCTGGCCATGCAGCATTTCCATTCATTTGTCACCCAGGCTTGTCACTGGTGATGTTCGCCCTTTTCCGCTGTTTCTGTTCATTTGTCCTTTTCCGCTGGCCATGCAGCATTGCTATTCATCTCCCAGGTCTGTCACTGCTGGTGCCGCCCTTGTCCGTTAGCCATGTAGCATTTCTATTCATGTGTCTCCCAGGCCTGTCACTGGTGGTCTCCGCCCTTTTCCGCTGGCCATGTAGCATTTCTATTCTTTTGTCTCCAGGTCCGTCACTGGTGTGTTCTTGTCTATTGTATTCAGTTGTCTCCCAGGTCCGTCACTGCGGTGCCATGTAGCATTTCTATTCATTTGTCTTTCAGGCTGTCACTGGTGGTGTCCGCCTTTGTCCGTTGGCCGTGAAGCATTTCAATTCCTTTGTTTCCCAGGCCCGCTACTGCTGGTGTTCGCCCTTTTCCGTTGGCCATGTAGCATTTCTATTCATTTGTCTTCCAGGTCTGTCACTGCTGGTGTCCGCCCTTTTCCGTCGGCCCCTGTGAAAGGGGTGCGTGACTGTCTCTGGGATTGCATTCCTGCCGCACTGTGTAACTCTCTCAGCTTTGTTTTCCTTTTCGGGCAAGCGTTGGATGAATGACCGGATTGGATTTCGGCGGCGTGGCAGCGATCTCTCTGTTCAGTTGGGACGGAGGGCATACGTCAGGCACCGAAAGTCAATTTCATGTCCCATCCTTCGCTCCTCATGCTTTGATTTCTTGTCCTCACATGGTCAGCTCCCCGCTGATTGAGCAGTATGACCAGCATCATGTTCGCACTTGAAGAATAATTCCCAAGAGGTTTACTGTTAGGGCTTCTCAATTCTTTCTTAAGATGTGTCCGGCCGCTCTGTGCTGTGTCCGTCTCTGCCTTTGCAATCCTTTACATTTGTCTCCCAGCTCTGGGCTGCTGTGGCCGCCTCTGCCTTGCAATCCTTTATCTCCCAGCTCTGGACGTCGCAAGCTCTAGTTTCGATTTTGAAAAGCACAAACTGTTTGGGGCCTACGGTGGTGTAATTTTCTTCGTTATCTTTCTAATCTAAGTTGCCTAACCTACAAGCGATGGCCTCCACCCTAGTAGCGATGGCCTCCAACCTCGTAGCGATGGCCTCCCTAGTAGCACTGGCCTCCACCCTAAGAG